ATATAGAAGGTATGGCTATGCTTTATGAAAAATCAGAGTAACTGTTGGTGACAACATTGGTGTGGTGTTGTTGGGGTCCAGTGTGCATTTTCCAAACATAGAAGATTTGGCTATACTAAATGAAAAAGCAATAAAATATGGGAATAATCAGAATTGTAGTCTAAGTCTGTAGTTCTATCACTAAACTTTGTAATCTGAGTCTGACTTTTGTAGTACTTTGTAGTCTGTCAGTGTCAGTTTCCCTTTTAGGGCATGCACCTTCCTTTTTTGGTCATTTTTCCCATGATACAATAATTGTAACCCTTTCTTTTAGCTTTCTAAATACTCAAATCATGTTATTTGGTTTTGTTTTCATGGAGAAAAACACAAAAAACAAAAAAAAACAAAAAAATGCAACACTTTTTAAATTTATTTACCTCATATCTTTACAACAGGAGCACTTCAGAACATAATTCAAACAGATTTGGGAAGCTACAGTGCAGGGCTACAACTTTGGTTTTGACCATTTTGGGTAATTGGTCATGTGACCAACATCCCCTTACATGGACCCTGACACATAGAATCATCTTTATCTTGTTTTCTTTTCACTATTTGGTCAAACTATATGAGATTTCCTTTTTGGGATGGACCCTGAAGTACACCCTGAAGGATTCCTGAGGACTTGACAAAATTTTAACTCCAACTCAAAATTACCAAAATTATAGTGTAGTCCTGCAGGAATCCTCAGGAATCCCCAGAGTCCTCAGGACTGAGAAGTACTGCATAAAAGGATCATTATGATAAGCATAAACCAATCAGTACAGCATGCCAGAAAGCAGATTGGAAGGAGCACAAGTGCAGTGCTTGCATGAAACCCCCAATGTTCCACAAGCTGGACAAAATAATGAAGAAATACAGTACAATTAGATGCTGAGAGGGTAAAGTAAGCACCTTTATACTGTCTTTCCAGTCTTCTGGCACCCCTTTCAAAGCACAGTGGAACTCCACATCCTCATGGAATTTTGTTTTGGTATCTGAAAACTAAACCAAATTATACAGCAATGGCAAATTGTCCATCCTTTTCACTCCTTAAACAATAGTGCCTCTTTTTTGCAAAAACTTCCAATATCTTAAATCTGTATATGACCAGTATGTCCTTGCCATTGCTCAGAAAGCAGAACTGAAGTGTCTACTTTTTTGGTCCCTCATGTCATGGCCCAGCTTGTTCGTGCCTCTGGGGCCATGAGGTGTGTGGTTATGGTTTTTGTGGGCGCTGCTTGTCATCCTTGTGGGCATGGTCATACTTGTGGGTGCGGGCCATCATTTTCATGGGTGCTTCGTTGTTCTCATGGATGCTGGTTGTCGTGTTGTTCTCGTGGGCGCTATTCGTCATTCTCGTGGGCACTTCGCCAGTGTCATGGGTGCTGGTGGTCGTTTGCCAATCATTATGACTGTTCTTGTGGTTGTTTTTGTTGCTGGGGGGTGGCACTTGTCTGTTGGGAGGTTGTTTGGGAGACCAGGGTTGTTTGTGGTGGTGGGGGTTATGCCACATCACTCATTGTTTTTGAGGGTTGACGTGGGCGTGTGCTTGTCAGGTTGTGAGGCAGTCACATGTCTTTCTTGTGTGGTTGTTGTTGTTCTTGGGCCACTGGGATCATTTGTGGTGGTGGTTACATGACATGGTATGCAGGTGATGTGGTGGCAGGGTGCACTCATCATTGTTGAGGTTGTGGGTTGAAGTGGGCACTCATGAAGCAGAGGGGGCACTTGTGGCCATTTGTCAATGGGTGTGGTCATGTCAAAACATTTGTAGCTTCCATGGTCATCGTGGTGGTTTGATGGTGGTTGTTGGCAAGTTGTTAATCTTGTGTGGTTGTTTGATGAAACATTTTGCCAAACATGACTTAGCCAAACAAAACCACATCAAAGCAATGCATACCAACATGTAGAACTTGTGTAGAACAAAGAACATAGCTGAAGGTTCCATAACCTTCCTCTATGCTAGTAGATGTATTTAATATGTTTGTAAAGTAAGATAGAATGATCCTTACTTTTTACCCCAAAGACACTATAGTATTTGGTAAAGCCTTGTGCTATCAAACTCAAATCAAACTATCTACCTTCACTAGTACTAACATTTCCGATGTCACTTATCATCAACATTGAAGTACATGAGAACTCACTTGATCTAGGGACCACCCTCTTGAGGTCGGACTCAGTTCAGAGCACCTCATTGACCAAGCCAGGAGATATACCAGCAACAGAGAGCTCAGCCTCTGATGCAACCCACCTGTTATTGAAATCCAGTCTTCTGAGTTGTACTGAAACTTTGGAAATTGCTGTGATTGTCATCTTACAGGCGTGCTTGATGCCAATGTCACACAAGGTGGTACTTGATTCCTGTAAAACCTGGTACATGATCAGGGTTGAAAAAAAGGCCACCAGCCCCTGGAATCTCTGGTGCCATTGAGTGAGCGTCTGTATTGCAGTACATGAAGTTGTCAAAACCATGTTTGTCAAAGTTCACCTATCATGAGATCTTCTTGTTTCTTCATTTTGGGCTAGTGGCAAATATCAGCTTGACCAAAACAAATATACAAGCAAAAAAAATGACAAATGTTGTGCCAAGACTCAACCTTTTTGTTCATCTCCTCAACTTTGTATATAGAGTTGGGTCTGCCTCCAAGGCCCACTGTTGACAAACTTCAGCTGGAGACGGCAACAAGACACTGTCAAATTCCAAACACAGTTGTGTTGCAGGTCAAGGATTGAGTTGAGAAGGGAAATATCATCCTGCAACTCTTCCTTGACAGCAACAGCCGAATGCAGTTCAAGATGTTTGCCTTGAAAGGCATGGTCAACATCTTCCATGGGGCTGTCATCAGCACCACATGCAAGTGGCTCAACACGACCAATCTGAGAATAATTGTAACCGTCTGTCAAAATTTGAAGATGAGTCGCTTACCAGGAAGTCGTTGACGTCGATATCTTCATCAGCCCCATACAGCTCTTTGACAGGACTGATCTGAACAGAGTTGTGATGGTCTAGACTCCATAACGTCAGAGCTTTGGAATAACTTACTGGGAAGTCATTGATGTCGATATCATCATCAGCCTCATATGGGTCCTCAACAGGACCAATCCGAAAGAGTTGTTATTGTCTAGACGTAACCTCAGAGCTAAATGATAACTTACCAGGAAGGCGTTGACGTCAATATTGTTGACATCGAGTGCAGGAGCTAACCCCCATGGACTGGGTATCAAATCGGTTTCCTGCTTTTACCATGAATCAACTATGCATGTGGCAGTTCTATACGTACCACTGGTCCACCAGTGGACAAAACTTACTTAGTGTCAGATTCACCCTACATCTGAGTCGGTTTGTCAACTTCTCTAACAATAAGATGCTGAGAGGGTAAGTAAGCACCTGTAATGTATTTCCAGTCTTCTGGCTCCCCTTTTAAAGCACAGTGGGCCTTCACATCCTGATGGAATTCGGCCTTGACGGTATCTGAATGGTGGCCTTTCCAGTCCTCAAGTTCCTCCTTAGGCTGCAGTAGGTTATTTAAAAGCACAAAGCATAGAGCCATATCAACAACAAACTTTTTTGATATTGAAGGTTTTCTCATCTTCAGTTTTGACCTCCATAGTTCGGGTGTACATGTTGTGGTTGAGACAGAGGCGAACAGATTTGAGACATCAACGTGAACTTGATTAGGCAACCATGAGAGTTTTGACTTGGACTCATGCATTTAGTATTAGGGGGAGTCAGGGTGAATGATTCAGTGCGATTCAGCAAACAGTTCACAAATGGTTCAAAAATGTTTGTTTCTCATCTGAACCATGGGAACTTGCTGAATTGTTGCAGAATGTGAACTGTCGTTGAAGCGCATCTGGAGGTGCTTCACTGCCGGTTCAAGTTATGGTTCTACCTGTTCATTCCATGACTCCCCATATCAATTAGATTTGATTAATAATACTTATATATTTAAAATATCTGAAACCTCTGTGAATTTTCTGGTAATGCCCTACTATGCCCTTGCAAAAATGCTGCTGAAATTTAAGAACTCGCCAACGAAAGCTACTCAAAAACATAGGACCACCCTCTTACACTTACTTGTCAATCTATTCAGACTATTCTATGTATGCAGAAGCCATATCAGTCAATCCATGTAAGTTTTACTTAATTCTACAATTACTGACAGACTTTGTACAGCACAGTTGGAGAAGTGCCCATGAGTTGGCACCTGACCACTAACCAACCAAGAGCAACACCAAACATAGGAAATGTGGTTGATAAGAGGGTAAAAGGGAAGCCACTGGGAAATAATTGTGCCACATTGGAGAAGTGCGAATGATATGAGTACTACTTAACATGTCCTTGGTTGGACATGAAAATTTCACTGCCAACAAAACCTCCTCATCACCATAAACTCTTGTAATATAATCCTCAAGCTCTAGATGTAAAAATTGAATTCTGGAAGTGAGGAGAGATCTGCTGGCAACTCCTGCATTCATCTCACAAGATCTTTCCACCTCTTCATTTTAGGCCAGCAGTAGATATCATTTTGGGGTTGGACAAAAAGCCACCAGCCCCTGAAATCTCCTGCTCCATCGAGTGAGCATCTGTATTGCAGTACAGGAAACCACATGGAGTCTATGATGACTATACTGGCTGGCCTCAGCCAACATTAATTTCATGGATTCCAGGTGTATCCTATATTGATTAACCCTGACACTTTTCTGCTTCATCAATCAACTATAAATGTAACAGCTTCATACAGGGGGGTATGCTATTAGGCAGAGCAGGAACAGGGATTTGTTGGACAAAAAAAATAGCAAGTAACAGTAACATTTTCCATGCCACCCTTTTATTGACTTGCTCAACAACACAAATGAGTCAGTTTTATTAGCAGAAAGTTGAATAGCTGTTTCTCACATTTGAAGGTGATGCAGAGTGAGACACAAGGAGGTAACCATATAAGGAGATTATTTGTCAGCTTATCTCCTTATATAGTAGAATGGTCCTAGGGGAGGAAAAGAATCTTACTACGACTTACCCTATAAGGAAACTAGACGGAACGGAAAAATCGAATGTCGGCGTTTGCCGACGCTTGATCTGGGCATCATCAACAAACACGCCCACTCTTTTTCAACAACCACCATCACCAACGACGCACACCCACCTCTCGCCAACGTCACCACCGGCCACCACGACGCACACCGGCCATCCATCACCCACCACAAGCACGGCACGTCCCAAGTCGGCAAGGCCAACGCCCGAACGCGTCAAGGAGCGCCTGGAGTATACACGCTGCCACGTCGCCGACAGCGACGTGGCAACTAGGTGAGTAGTGAGTACTCACCAGAACCATTGCCACGTCACTTACGTGGCAATGAGACGACGACCGATTGTCATCAGTCGTCGTCGTCTCTCATTTTCATTTACTTAGAACTACCACAATGCACGACGACGACGATCCCGACACGCCACGTCACACGCCGCGACCACGATACATGACAACCACGCCACGAAGCAACCACCCACACAACCACCACACTACCACAGCATACGCGACAACCACGCCACGTCACACCACGAAGCGACCAGCTACGAGACCACGACACGACAACCACGCCACGTCACACGACGAAGCGACCACGAACGGACACCCACGCACACAGAAACGGCCAACGGACACAACGAGGACACGAAGCAAGCGCACGACAACGAGTGCACGCCAAGACGACGCGACAACGAAGACACGACGCGAACGACGTGCACGACACACAGGACGACGCCCAGTGGTCCCCACTCCATCCCTCCCTCCCTCACTCACTCTTCCCTCCCACCATCCCTCTTCCTTCATCCTTCCTCCCTTCCTCCATCCCTCTTCCCTCCCCCTCTTCCTTCCCCTCCACACTCCCTCCTCCTTTCATCAACCACACTCACCTCCCTCCCTCACTCCCTCCCCTCCATCCCTCTCCATCACTCCCCCTCTTTTCATCAACCACTCTCTCCCCACCCCTCCCACCCCCCTCCCTTTAACACTCAATGTAGTAATATAGATCTATGCACCCTCCATCACTCCCTCCTCCTTTCATCAAACACACTCTTCCCACCACTCCCTCCACCCCCTCCCTTTCACACTCAATGTAGTAGAATATATCTATGTAGTCCCAGTGAATACAGTTAAATTTTCCATGTTCACATCTCAAATATCTTAAGCAACTCTTAGCATAGAGTAGAATAAAGGTCTTGATAAGTGCAGATTAAGTCACATTGCCTCTAGCTAAAGTTGGAATACAGATTTATACTAGAGTTTACATCCATTTCAGTTGGATTCCTGTCAATTCTGGATGGAATCCACAGAATTCCTGGATTCTGGCCGGAATCAGTGGAGGAATGGAAAGTATTGGGTGGTGCCCTCAAATCCTTCTGTTTGTCTCAGGGTCTCTTCCATGAACTTACACTGGCATCTTACATTAATAACTTCATATCACGATTCACGAGCAACTTTTGTGGACAGCAAGGGTGCAAGGAGGGTAGTTGAAGGCATGAAGCTCATCTTGATGGCATGGGGGGGGCCATCAAGCTTTATGGTGGTGACTGGGTAGGAGGGTGTAGCATGCTGCTTTGTATGCTGTTGCACAGGCTGTGTTTTGAAAATTTTGTTTTCAGTGGTGAGATCTTTTGGTAAATGGAGACATTGATGGCGAGTCATGGTTGGTGTTATGTTCAAAGTTGGGCTCAGACAAAGTGCATGTATGGTACAACAACATACAATTTACAGGGCGCGTACCAACATCATCACACTCCCCAAATCGGGACGGCAACACATTGCATAACTAAGCGACACATTGGGTAAATAAACAACATATTCGAAATTCATGTGTAATGTGTCGCTAATTCATGTGTAATGTGTCAACAGTTATGCATGTGAGACACCTAGATGTGAACCTTCTGGTCCAAATTTTATTCTAAGTTAGAAAGAAGGATTAAGTGCTGTGGTGTATTCCTGAGGAGTACTTACGAAGTCCTTTTTTTTCAAACACTTTCTGTACTCGCGGAATTAGGAATGTAAAATTCATATAGAGCAAGCTATGGTACAGGAAAGCACTATATACATTATAAGAGCAGTGATGATGGAGGAAGTAGCCACTCCTCCTCAAGATAGGGTCATAACGCGACACATTGATGTGTGCCAGTGTGTTCTCCCTCTTTAGTGTGTTGATTTTACATGTGTTCAACACATTCAGATGTGTTGAACATATGTCTCCACTTGCCTGCTCATCTGGGCAACTTCAGTCCTTTTTTTTTTTCAAAAGTCCTTCGAAATTCTGTACTTGAGTAAATGGCAGTAAAATATAAACATGTATATGGGAAGGTATGCCTACTGTGTAGAAGTAGGAAGGAAGGAGGGAGGTAGGGACACCACCTCTCCCCTTCAATAACCTGCCCAAGCTGCAGTGGCCGTTCAGTGATGGTGGTGATGAGCTCCCATGGCCATTAGTCAATCGTGGTTGTGGGCAGTCATCCATTCATTGATCCTGGTGGTGGGCCCTTGTCAATGGTGGTGATGCGCCCTCATGGCCATTTGTCAATCCTGGTGGTGAGCCCCGTGGACGTTAGTGAGCCCTTGTCATCATCCGTCGATCCTGGTAGTGGGTCCTTGTGGCCAATTGTGGGGGTGGGGAGAGAGAGGGTAGTGATGTGTGATATCGCGTTCATCACCTCACCCAATTGGGATGTGTTCAGCAGTTTTGCTCATCCTCTCATCCTCAACACAGTGTCGAGGATGAGCCTTATCCCATTTTGGGGAGTGTGCCACTGTATGTATATCCTTGTCCAACTGCCATAAAATCTCAGTGAATAAAACCATTGAACCTTCTCAGTGTTATTTGGGTGAACAGACATGGTATCATGCTTCTCGTAGTCTGAAAGGCAAGACAAAGCAAGCAAGAAAGTGTAATGTGGGGATGACATGAAGAGCAAACTAACCATGTTCTTGTTTAGTGATGTGAGCTTGACATTCCTCTGCTGACATGGCACCAAAGATGGCGTCCCTGCCTTCTAGGCTGCAGCCCTTGGTTTCGGGAGCGCTGAGGGATTGCAAAGATCAAATGGCTGAAATCACTGTAGCCAATATATCACATACGGAGAGAAGGCACCTACTGATAGTACCAAGATCTTGCAACCAAGCTTGGTGATCATAGTGGATGACTTCAGAAACAATGAGGTTTCAGGAGCATTTATTAGATATTGGAAGGAATGGGCAAGATTTAAGACTTGCTGAACCACTGAAACACATTGACAAGAGCACCTCGCACATTGAAGGGCATTGCCGTAAAGAGAAGGGACATCCTGTAGCCAAGCAGAGCTTGGAAGAGCAACTTGATGACACTGTGAGTTTCAGATGCAAGCAGATAGTTCTTGGCACTGGTATCCAAATGGATGAGAGGATCTGAGAGGCATAATATAGAGATCAAGTTGAAAGGGGAAAAACAGAGACAAGGAGAAATAATACTTACCCAACAGAGTTTTCAACCCCATTGTTGCAGCAAGAAGATGACAAAGGTGATGACAAAATGGATGAAGTTCCTTTTGCCCAAAAGCGCCTCTTTTAAACCAAGAGCCGCACAGGCAATCCATTCCTATATGTTCCCCCAGGCTCCTAGACTTACTGACAATTCATAGTGGCGTGCACTGGCAGCTAGGCAAGCTTCATCTTTGTTCGGGTGTGTGACATCTGTGTTTCATTGTAGAGAGGAAGTCATCAAGTGAAGTGTACTTAGGTAGCCAAGCAAGGGAGTAGCATTACTCAGGATGATGAATTACAAGTCCTGGAGTTTACATAAGGAATCGTTCTTATACAGAGCCATTTTTTTGTCACACTATTCTTTGAGAGCTATAGACAGACAGTAACAAACAGATGTCAACTCATCTGCAGCCAATTTGCTGTGTTCTCTCCAAGTTCTCTCTTTACTGATGGCTAAATTGTCCTTTTGTTCATGCTGTTGTTGTACTTTTACATGTACATAGAGTTTTCTGTCAGATGAGATGTGTGCACAAGTGTTGAATTTATAGGGAATGCATATACTAACTAAAGAATGTGTGTATGTCAATGATTATTCAGTGATAATCTAATGATCATGTTACATGACGATAGTATGTAGACTGGGACTTTTCGTGGGTATGAGCTATGTAAACTACATAACTGTCCCACCGATTATGCCCACTTTTGTGACTTTCCGTTTGTAACACTAATCAGGACTTTCAGGGGGGCCCATGGCTTAACCCTTACAAGCATAGGAACTCAATCACTTCTTTTACTCCCTGAGCTACCTTATCACTGCACCTAGCTCATGGCACACCGTCATGTGGCTGTTGCCGGCGGGGATTCTTGTGGGGAGACCCCCAAACCCTGTAAGACTAACCCCATTTGACCTTAGTTCTTTCCTCAAGCAGAGGCCTCATGCCCCCTAAGATTTTCGTTGAAGCCTAATCAGTAGATGTGTGGAATAACCCAACCCTTTGGCATGTTGGTGTTTGTTGATCGGCAAGGGGACTGGTTTACCAGCTTCGACTCCATGATTTTCGCACATCATTTGTCAGCCATTACGGCCTGTCCCAAGCCTTCCAATCTGCTTCTTCAGCATATCTTATTTTTCCAAGATAAGAGGAGTAAATGTGGCCATGATATCATTGTGATTGGGGGGTGTGGGTATGTTATATTCGGCATCAGGGTCTATACAACAGACCGCGTCACCTTCCCATACACCTGACCCGTCTTGGCATCTCCCAGGGGCATTGAATGCACATGGTGTCTAAGTTGTTTTCCACATGCGGGGGATCGAACTTGAGACCTTGCGGACCCAAGCCAGACAAACGATGGTGCCACCTGAGCCACCGTGCCCCCAACTAAAGTATGTACTACTCGTCACAATTGTTGTACTAGACTTGAGCGAAGTTGCAAACTGCAAGGCATTACTACACAACTACATCTGAAACAGAGCAATCCCCAATCATGCTTCACCACAACAGAGCCAGCCATCATCGACTTGGTCAGCATCCTCTCCCAAATCGTGTCGACATCTGGTCCTTCGAGATCGCCAGCGCTGTCCCAGCCCCAACACCATATTATCAAGCACATTCATTAGATGGGGAACAGGAAAAGAAAATGGAAAGGGGAAAGGTACAAACCTTGTTCTGGGCCGGGGTTGAATTGTAGGGGCTTCGCTTCTTTATGTGGGGACAGATGATGTGGGCCAAACCACAATATGTCTTGTGAGTCTGTGTGAGGATCATCAGGGAGGCCTCCAAGATGCTTGTACCTGCGAATGGTGGTCAGGTTCTGTTGTTCTGGGTGGATAGTATTGAACACTTTCTGTAGAAGTAGGTCAAATTAGATAGACGTCAAAGCAAAAAAAGAAAGAATGTATGATAGTCAAAAATGCACTGAATCATAATACAAATTAAGCTACACTCACTTGCACTGCACTCCCCCTCCGTCATCTTGGCCACCCTGAGCCTCACAGGCAGCAGCCACCAATGAGTAAAACGGTGCAGGATCAATCACTGCAATTACACTCCGACAAGTCTGCACTTGTATAAGTAAATGCTGTATTGCATTGTTTGTTGTCCCCAACAGCTGTTAGAGGAAGTACTTAGTGATTTCCATGCAAAGATCTGACGATTTGATAGTGCCGAGGTTCTTTTGGTTGGATTTGGCTGGGGGCACCAGTCAGATTGTGGTAAGTCTCAACAGACTGAAACGACGAACTGTTGGTGTGATCTCGATAGACCATGAAAGGACCTCCAGTCTTGATCTGAGCTTCTAGTATAGCATACCAGATTCTGGGCAAAAATGGACTTGCGGGCACGACCTTCCTTCTCCTTGTGAAAAGCCTCGAAACAGCGCTATTAACCTTGCCAAGGCCTGGTGCCTTGTTAGGGCAGAACAAGGGCCAGTCTCTGTTGGGCCCGACCCATTCTGGGAGGAGGATGTTAGTGGCATGAACTAAACCATCCACAATTAACACTCACACAGCCGCAGACTTCCTCCATTCCATGGTTCTTCCTTAAATCAAGGAATTCGAAGATGTCAGCATGCCATGGCTCGATGTATATGGTGAAGGTACCAGAACGCTGGTTGCCTCCTTGGTCGACATAGCAGCCTGTGGAAGAGTGGGCGGTGGCATCGCATGCACGCAGAATCAGGACGATATCAGCCATCCATTCCGGCAATGTAAGACCTTTTAACAGAAGTTGTTAAGCATGCTTCAAGCAAGCTAATGAACGAGATGAGAGGCTTACCCTGTGGCACGAATGCAATGAATGCTTGAGCCAAATTTCAATACCTCCCACTATCTTGCTGACCATGATGGTTTCGTGAGATTCTGGAGTGCAATCTCACATGCAACGCACTGTAATAGGAGAGACAAGGTTGTCAGCATGTCAAAAAAACACAGCTAAATTTATCAGAACAGATACGCACTGCTGCTGACAATTCCTCAACAAGTTGATGTGAAGGACAAAGTGGCAAACATCTACAAATTTCAAACTGAAAAGTGAGTGGACGTCCACTTTTCAGTTTGAAATTTGTAAATGTTTGGTTGGTCTCATAATGCTACAGACCTCTATGTACTCATCACTGTTGAACAGCATCTGAGCATGCGAGTACGACACATGCACTACATCTCTGCTATCCATTGTTATTGGCTGCGGAGAACCTTCCATTATTGAGGTCTTTACCTTCCCCAGTATAATCCATATGGAATCCATGGAATCAATGTTGGCCAAGGACACAGCCAGTTTGCTGGAATGGTCATGGAATGATTAATTCCATATGGACTCCAACACCATTCCCTATGGATTCCATTGGATTCCATATGGAATGCAGGCATATCCACATTTATTCCATGGAGCAGTCCATATGGATTCCATGGAAGGAATTAATGACCATTATACCATTAGAATACATATAAATATAGTATTTATAGTGTCCTTACTATATTTAAGTAAAAATATAATTTTGCACTTGAGAGAATTGAACACTCAACATCATCAATAGAAGTACAGTCAAAACTCTCGTAACCCATGCATCAGATAACCCATAACCCCTGAAATCCCATACCATCTTGGGTCCACCAAGTTGGTGGGCAGGGATTTGCAACCCATAACCCATAAGTCTGCAATAATCCATAACCCATAGCCTTTGGCAGGCAAAACCCAGTTTTTGGACCCTAACTTAGGGTTATACCTACCAAAAATGGTCATAGGACCCAGTATTCTTCACTGTTTTTTTGTGCTGCTAAATAAAAATCTATCACAACACTAAATTTATTATCAATCAGCAAATTCTCTGGCACCAGCCTACAATGCCCCTCCTCCCGAGTAGTGTTGCCGCGGCTCGGCTAGCCGCAAGCCGGCTCGCTGAACCGGCGGCTTTTGCCGGTTCCGGTTTGTGGATCACTCGAAAGCTGATCAAGTCCGGTTCGGCTCGGCTTAGTCGGTGGCTTTGAACCGGTTATAGCCGGTAAATGATTGCCGCAATTGATGACTCGCGCGTTAAGTAGAATGAGGTTAAATTTGTAATAGAATTTGAGACAAATGCATTTTGTGATAAGTAAAATATATTGAACAAGCTATCAATCCTCGTCATCCTGTCCAATAACGTGAATTACCTCATCAATATCTATACCATCCTCCGTAATTTCTGAAGTTAGCTTCCCTAACAAATCCACTGAATCTTCGTTGTCATCTGCGTAGTACTCGAGTTCGTCTTCTGTGACAGCCCATCCCTCCGTAAAGTTTAGCCGTTGCTGCTTGAGCGAAAACTTTAACATTTGAAGCGCCTCCATTAGAACAGGGTGGATTCGATTTCGCCGCTTTGTATCAGTTTCGGCACTGGATGAAAAAACGCGCTCGGAAGGAACCGAGGATGCTTGAATGGGCAAATAATCTAATGCCATCGCGTACAATGTTGGATGAGTTTTATCACTTATCTACAAAAAAATCAGTGGGGCAAATTAGAAAATAGTGAGAGACTATACTTACCGCCCAAAACCCTACAATATCTGTGCCATGCGGTGAGAGCGGCCCATTTTCGTACAACTCAAATTGTTCTTCAACGCCTTGGACCTGCTGCGAAGAAGCACCTGTAACGTCCATCATATCTTCGAGCCCGTATTGTCCAGCTAAATCATGCCAGCTTCGCCTCTCTTGCTGCGAGGCTGCTGTACCAGGTGTAGGTTGTTGAACTTGTCCATGAAGACGGTCATGGTATTTTCGCATCTGGAACAAGTATATTAGGTTACTGTCACCGTAACAAACTGAGACACTTACGGTATTTTTTATAATTACGGTGGCCCTGGCAACGTAATTAGGCTCCCAGTGTCGTCGAATCCATGACAATCGTATTGAGGGATTGAGAACTGATGATGTCAAGTTATTGAATGATCTATGAATTTGAACCTTAACTCACACATCGCAATAACGTAGGCAGGCGAATCATCCATTTTCTTGTAGTAAGTTGTCGCCCAGTCGATACCGATATCTGTCCATCGGGCCAAGCGGGGGTGTGCTGTCCCAAGTTGCTCCCATGCCGTCATGAACATTTCGAACGCAGGAATTGCGCCTGATAAAACAGGAGTGCGCTCTTTCGACATGATTTTCTGCACTTGATGAGGTACCTAAGAAAAAGATTTAGCCTCAAACAGGTATCAATATTAGAGACGTACACCCAGTACGATCTCAAAATCCTGGAGTACAGTCCATTCCATATCAGTAAGTCTAAGTTTCGCAAGCTCTCTATTGACGGGCAAAGAAAGAAAGTACTCGACGGCCTATTTTTATAAGTATACACTGATAGAATGATGAAGTTCAAACATACCGGGCGTAGTTTACGAAACCGATTGATCATGAAATAAAGAGAGTCCCACCGAACCTTCATATCACGTATAAGTTGTGCCTGCTTGACCTGTATAGTCATGGTCGGATCCCCGGTTGACTTGAACCACCCTTTCTTGTTTCCATCCTCTATTACTTCTGCCAGGTGGTCACGTCGTTGACCTGAGGCGCGTACTGCTCGTACAGTACTTCGGCACAATGCAATTGGGTCGCGAGCAACCGCTTCTTCGTAGCTCTGATTATCGGGATCGCTTGGAGGGCCTGATGCGGATGCGACAAATCCCCCTGTATCATCTACCAGGCTGATATCAGTAAATGCATCAATGACGTGATTCGAACATATGTTGGTAACGTGTGGGAAGCATCTTATATGATTCTCCTTGTGATTAAATTCAACGTCGCGAGGGCGTAGAAGTAACTCGAGTTCTCTGAGGAAAGCATCGTTGAGCGAGCAGTTATCGAGAGTCCAATGGCCTCCCTGTGCACGTAAGCATAAAGTAGAAAAGGGAAAGAAAATGAAACTTAGACGTGCTTTGACTGTAATCCCAACTCAGTCCAAGAGATGGAGGACAATTCTTGCTAGCCTCTTCCCGTTGTGGCTTCCTCGAAGACGGTGAAATGCGATGAGTGTAGAACGCAGCTGAAGACCCTTGGTAGACTTGTCTCTATGTATCCAATGTGCGGTAATGGCCAGGTATGGGTACCGAGCTTTTGTTGACCAAATATCCGCCGTGTAGGAAATCCGTCCTGGCGCATCCTAGAGTGAACAGTGAATACAAGGAAACAAAGCGGTCAATTGAAACAACATACTGCTAATTCCTGTTTTAGGATCTTGAAATACGCATGCCATGCCTTGATAATGGATTCGCGCATCTTCGTTCGGCGGGGAATGTCTTTGTCCTCGAGGTCCTCACGTAAAAGCAAGAGGAGCTGTCGAAATTCTGGGCATTCAACAACATTTATAGACTGCGAAGAAGGTTAGACTAATACCAAACATTAAAAGTGCTTGACCAACCTGATCGTCTGCAACGATGAAATTCAGAAGATGCTGTATCAATGCCTCTTGGGAAAATGGTGGACGTTGTGTTCCATGGGGCGCCGGGGCTGTTCCAGTTTCGCTCGCGAGTGCAGGGACTTTCCATCTCATTTCGCGACACTTCTGGAGATATGGATCCTTGTGGCGGCTTAGGAGGTGGTTGCGCAATGGACCATTTGAGGTGCTCGCTGAGAAGCTGCCTGCACCCTGGCGCAAGTCTATCCCATTCGCCCTACATAACAATCCTTGTCAGTACAATGTATAANATTATCGAGGACCACATACCTGCATAGCTTACATAGAGTTCTGCTTACTGGAGGCGCCTTGGATCCGCGTTCAAAGAAAAAATCAATATCTGGGGCTGTTCGGCTCCGTGAGGGTTCTGAGGCTCGCTCAGAAGGCGTGACAGGTCTGGTGGAGGCAGCAGAGCCAGCTACAGGCTCGACACTCGCGGGAGAGATCGGTCGTTGTACATCTTCATCAGCAGAATGTTCATCCAAAGGAGTGAAGTCGAATTCTTCTCCAGAACCGGGATCGTCACGAAAGTTGACTGGCACTGCTCTACGGCCAGCTGTACGAGGAGGTGCTGGCTGCTGTGTCGGTTTTCTGCCTCTACCTCGGGCCATTACAAAGCTGGGCAATTTACAGAGATAGAGACATTGTTTCGTATTTTATACAGAACCATAGCACCTCACATGCCGTTAGCGCGTGTTTCTATCGTAATTAATGTAACAGTTGATTCAATCAAATGTCTCATCTACTAAGACGTTACAGATAACTAACTTGAGGCTTTACAGCCTAAAATGTCGAACCTAGTACACCCGTCTCAATTGGGGAGCTGTTAAGGAGTGGCTTCATCCAGCTCAGCAGGGTTCTTGTCGTTATCGGTGAAATCCTTTACATGAATGTTAGTACCACGGAAATAATTTGAGGCATGATCGACATACTGAATCTATCATCCTCTGATCCTACACCCACATTGTTGTCGCATTGTCCACACCAGCCTCAATTGAGAAACTTGCGAAGGGCACGAGGAATCTGGCGAGAAAGCGAAATGAACACGAAATGAACACGAAATTAATAGCAGTGGAGTAAGGCTGACCTTTATCCATCATGAAGAACACAAGAGAAGGCTTCTTCGGCGTGATCGATAGACCCATAGCGATCATAGAGTATTCCAATCCCATACCAAGGCTTTGGGTCAACGGATGAATGCGCGTTATCCACCAGGCATCGTGCATCCAGGCACATTATCAATCACATATCTGGGTGTGTCACCCATCGCGTG